GGTGACGTAGGCTCACGTGGACGTGACCCCTCGACGTGGCTGCCTGATGATGTAGGCACGTGCGGACGTGAGCCCGCGACGTGGCTGCCTGGTGACGTAGGCTCACGTGGACGTGACCCCTCGACGTGGCTGCCTGGTGACGTAGACACACGCGGACGTGAGCCGGCGATGTGGCTGCCTGGCGACATAGGTTCATGCGGACGTGAGCCGGCGATGTGGCTGCCCGGTGACATAGGCACACGTGGACGTGAGCCGGTGACGTGGCTGCCTGGCGACGTAGGCACACCCGGACGTGAGCCCGCGACGTGGCTGCCTGGTGATGTAGGTTCACGCGAACGTGAGTGAGGCCCCAGCGTGGTGAGCGCCTCTCCGCTTCCGCGCTAGGTGGCTGGTTTGGATCTTTGTCATTTCGCTCTGCTGCTTGTTGTGCCTTCACTCAAGATAGGAGAGCCTAGCGAGCGTACCGCTTAGCCACAGAGTCAGCGTTTTTACTGCCAAGGCAAGTCTCTTTGGTCGAAGCGTGGGTAGGGCTGAAAAGGAGGGTGGAAACAGTGTGTCAGACATTGAAGAGGCGACACGAGTCCCCCTGCCACACGTCGCTCGGTGACCGGACAGAGCTGCCTACTCGCCTTTGTCAGAGGCGTTCCTTTTCTGAGCTAAGATCCAGGAAATTGTCCTTTGGGGGGGGTGTGAGGCCGCTCTGGCTGCCGTGACAAGCACCCTGGACTTGGAGCTTAACCGACAGAGTTCATTGCCCTGCCTGCTGGAGGCGGGGAGTCCAGGATCCGGGTGTGGGCAGGGCTGGTTCCTCCCGAGGCCTCTCTGCCGGACGCGCAGACGCCGCCCTCTCTCCGTGTCCTCTTGTGGTCGTCCTTCTGTGTGTGTCTGTTCCGACTACCTCAGGAGGATACTGGTGACCCGTCTCAGTGTGCGCTGGCATCCTGAGGCCCTCGGGGTGAGGACTTGCACATGGGACTTAGCGGGGACACATTCCAGCCCATGCTGGGGCGAACACTCCTGGAAAAGGGAGGTGAGACGTGGAGAACCCAGCTGTCTGCTGCGGGCTGTGCTTGGCGCTCTCTCCCCTTGTCTGCCGTGCGGAGATTCCGGGTTCAGACTGCACGACCGCTGCCATCTGGGGCTCTGCTCCTGCCTGTGCTGCCCTTGCAGGTGCGTTCACGGGCTCCCTTTGGCGAACGTCTGTGCTGTGCACCTAATGGTGGCAGTGCTTGGGTGCCTCTGTGTGTTTACCGCTTAAGGTAGGTGTTATCATCACCATCCCCATTTTACGGAGAAGGACCCTAAAGCATAGGTTGGTTAGTAACTGGTCCTAGGGGATCAGCGACGAGCAGACGACCAAACCCTGTGACGCCGGCAGCCCAGCAACCAGGGCCGTGGGTGTGTCCGTGTGCCTGCAGGGTCGGCATGCCTGGGACCACCCAGGCACATCGGGATGTGTTGGCCGCCGGGGGGGTTGCCCCCATGAAGCTTGCCTAGGGGTGCGCGTTAATCTTCCTCGGTCGTGGCGTCCCCTCGTGATGGGAGATCACTTCCGAACACGGTCACTCCACAGTCTCCGTGCGTGCATAGTTGCAGACACGCCTACTTGGGCAAACTATTTGTAACTGTAAATCGGTTCTCTGAGGACATGTGCAGAACGGCTAAAATTTGAGTCCCCGGCATGCGTGTTCCCAGCTGAGGGCCAACAGGGTACCTCTTTTATCACCTTGGACTATAGAAGGTGTTCTTTACACGATCTGTTTGGCACCTTGTTTGTCGTCTTTCTTGTGCTTTTGGTTGGTGGTTTCAGTGCTTAAACAGTCCTCGTATGTGGTGCTGAAGTGGGGCAACATCCAGAGGAGACAGGCCGGCTACAGAGCATGTGCTTCTAATCATGTGGAGCCACAGAAACCCGGTCAAGCTGCTGCCTAATAAGGATAACCAAATCAGAGTTAATGGTATAATGCCCGTGGTTAGAACTGAGGATATGCAAAATGTCATTGATGGGCTCATTGACACACTTTTCTTAATGCCTTATTTAGCAAATACAAAAACTGTGCTTCCCCCACTTAACCAGTGAGTGCTTCCCTTCGTGGTGACTGTCGCGGTGGGGACGGACTGGGGCCAGTCTCGTGGGTGATACTGCGCTGATACACGCTGGTTATAAACACACTTTGGAATGATTATTCAGTATCATGAGTGCTAAAACAAATAGAACAGCTAATATTTCTTGAATGCTTACCCTCTATCATAAAGTATCTTAAGAGCTTTACGTGTGTTTAATCCATTCACTGTACCCTGCAGGGGACTGGCCGTGTCATTCCCATTTAGTGGAGGAGGGCACCGACACGCCCCCTGGGGCCTGGAGGAAGTGGGATACAAGCCCCAGGCGCTCTACCTGTAGAACTTGAGCTCCTCACTGTCTCTGTTAGGACAGACAAGGAAGTTACCCTTTACGAACAAACCCATAACTTAAAATATTTCTCTTTCCACTGGCTGTTTGAAAACGTCACTTTAAAGTGCTGCATTGATGCGGCTCCAGCTGTAATATTATCGTATCAATGTGGTTCCATCTTGAGAAGTATAAATTGCCTTAAAGATAATCTTTGTCCTGACGCTTTTGTGGTGCACTTGGATTCAGATTCTTGGCCCTTTCTTGGGACGTGGCAGTTTTTGAAACCCCCTTGCTCACTTACCCTTCAGAATAACTCCATTGTGATGATCCGAAAACTTGTAATTTGCTTCTTTATAGAAAATCACTCTGCACCTCCTGATGTAACCACTTACACCTCAGAACACTCGATACAAGTAGAAAGGCCACAAGGCTCAACAACATCACGGACGGCACCAAAGTATGGCAACGCGGAGCTCATGGAGACTGGCGATGGTAGGTCTTCTGACAATCATTTTTCCTTCTTTATAAATCCTCATTTCTACTAAGTTGCCCTTCTGTGCGCAGGATTGGATGTGTTTCTTGTAGATACAAAGTGACTCACGGAACCTGGTTGATCACCTTCTTTATGTGGCTCCCATGGAAGGTGGCACGGGGACAAGAAATGCAAATGATCTCCAAGTTGTCCAAGAGTGTTTCCTTGTAGGAAAAAATATCAGTGTGGGGGGAACTCAGTCACGAGAAGAAAACAGAAATTTTATGAGTCTGACATGTTTGCTAATCAGTAACAAATGTTGGTTCGGCAGTTAAGAAATTAGCACGGACACGTTAAGACCACGAGCAGTTAGGAGAAGGATAACATGAAGTTAAATGTAAACCAATGATTGACATGTATGGGCTGGTGTGATGCTTTAGACTTCTGAAGAAAGAGGGTTTTTTCCTCCATATCGGAAAAAAAAATGTCAGCAGTGATCAAGTACAGTAGTGGGGGCTCTCCCTCATTCCTCGTCCTTCTGTGTCAGTACATTCTGAGTATGGTGGCCGTTTCTGTGACCCGGTCTGGAGAAGCAGACTTGGGCGTCAACCCCATGCTCTATTCTGCTTTCCATGTGCTCAGCCCTTCCCAGGCCGCGAGAGTGTGGTAGACCCAGTGGTGATATAAGATGTGATTTTCGTGAAGGCAGCCAGTGTGGCCTTGGTGTGCCGTCCATCCCTCTGGGTGTGTGTCCTGTGGCACTGTGTGGTTTGGGGCTGGTGAGGAAGGCCCTGACCTGTCTGTCGGGTGGCATGCCCTGTCCTCGTTCCAGTCCCACGCCCCTGGGGTCGGTGAGCCGCCCTGGTTTCCCTGGGGTGCTCGCAGTGCCAGTGTTGCTTTGTGTCCCTGTTAAAAATCATCCTGTATCCAGTCGGTTGTTACTGTTATTCTTGTCACCATTTAATAGCTTTGTTGTCTGTGAAGTCTGCCTTTGTCTGTTCCCCTAGGTAAATTCATGTTGTCCCGCTGACACCACATGAGTCCTCTGTGTCCTGTGTTTCTCTGTGTGCAATGACCCCTGTATCAGAGTCACCCAGGACCTTGTCAGAAAACAGATTCTGGAACCCTCCCAGCCCTACCCCATCACAGGCTCAGGGCGGGGTCCTCAGGAGGACTCTTGCGTGTCGTGGCCGAGCCGGAGCACCAGTGGCAGTGGGAGACGACCTTCCGTTCACCCGAACCTACTCAGTGGGGCACTTAGTGGAGAAATACTGTGTTTAGATATTGAGAGTTCTGGGTGCTATGTCTTTGTATGTTTCCCAAACTATAAAATATTTAATGTCTCAATTCTGCAAGTGCCCAATATATTTTGAGGCTATCTGTGAAAATGCTTTTTATTTGATAAAAAGCTTCCTTGAGATCTGTCATATTTGTTCCAGACGCTGAGATCGGTCTTTATGATACATGACCATCAGTGGGGGAGGGGGAGGAGGAGGAGGAGGAGGAGGAGGAGGAGGAAGAGGACAGCTCTGCCAGGGTTTCAGGAAAGCCCCTTCCAGCCTGGTTCCCTTGCAGGACCTCTCTGCGGAGTAGAATGTGCTACAAGGACACTCTTGTCCGGCTTGAGGATGTCAGCACCCTGATGCTCCTTGTATGTGTTAATTTGGGGCATTTAAAAATCTTTCTGCCTTTTTGGCAATCATTTATTCAGTTTCCAAAATGATGTTGCTCGTTGTTGTAGATAAGAAATACGTTGTTATGATACGGAGTTTATTTTTCTCTGTACATGTGAGTATGTGCTGTATCCTGGTGTTTGGGTTATGCAAAAAATTAAGAGCATTTAAATTGCTGTGCTCAGGAAGCACTGGCTGAACATGCACTCAGGTGAGCAGAAACTGAGGCACAGACGGGGGCCACTGGATAGTCAGAGTACAGGCCTGCCACGGAGCCCGTGGAGCCTGAGTGCCCCGCCCTCATGTCAGGATGTGCCTGGCACATTGGGCAGGCCACTCTGGCCCCAGAGAGGGCAGTGCTGGTGGTCTCCAGAGACAGCTTTCAGAACTCCATTGGAGAAGGACAGGGGAGCAGATCCTGTTTCAGGAATGGGAGGTGTGATTAGGTGCAGCCCAGGGTCTGGTGCCCCTCCCCCAACCCCAGCAGGACATCTGCAGCATTGTTCCAGGGGTCTCTGCAGACCCTGTGGTGCTGGTGGGGCCACTGCACCCTGACATCCACTCAGGGGCAAGCTCTTGCAGGGTGGGGTGTCCTGGGTGGCAATTGCGGGACCCTCAATATGGGGCCCTGGCACTGGTGTCACGACCATTTTTCCTGTGGCTGCTTGTTCAGCTGGTGAGGTACTGACTGGTCCTTCTTCTGTCGGTGGTTCTGTTTTCCAGGGGTGCCAGTAAGTAGCCGGGTGTCAGCGAAAATTCAACAGCTCGTCAATACACTCAAACGACCGAAGCGGCCGCCGTTACGGGAATTCTTTGTTGATGACTTTGAAGAATTGCTGGAAGGTGAGAGGGGCCTCCGCCCCCCACTTACTCTGTCTGCGTGATCCCAGGGACTGTCATGACTGGGCTGTTAAGAGTAACAATCTTGGCACCCCTGCAAGACAAGAATCTTCTCTAGAGACTGTAGGCACTGTTCCCAAAGCCGCCTTTAAAGACAGGCTAAGTGCGGGCAAGGCAGGATAGACACCCAGGCTGCATGTTTGTGGCCCTCCCAGGGTGCAGTCACGGCCGTGAGCCCGGCCTCCACCACGTAGCAGAAACACGGGGAAGCATACAAAACTGTGACTCAAGGTGACACGTGCTCTCTACGTAAGCGCATTAAGAGGAAGGCAGAGTGTGCATGCGGCTGAGCTCATTTCCTGCCCCTCTGTGCAAATTCAGGACTACGTCAAACCCAGATTCCTTATTTTCTTGTTCTTTGTACCACAAGTAAGACACTGCTGATTCTCTGGCCAGCAGGGGGAGATTGTCAATCGCAGACTGTGAGGGAGAGAATCCTCTTCTAAAAGTGAGAAGCCTAACAGTTGCTAACCTAAACTAAAGAGTTGGGAAGATTGTATTGCATTATAGGCCATTTTTTGTTTTACTCAAGAAAATGTGCTTGGCTTGGTTATTGATAGTAATTGTTGCAAATTCAAATTTACATCCCCGTATTTAAGAGCAAAATATAATTTAACAAAATTTGAGCTCTGGAGTCCAGAATTACTAGTGTATGTACATCAGGAGTTGATTTTTTGAACAGCTGTTGCAATCCCAGAGTCCAGGCATGTTAAAATACACAGTTCATCTGTCAGTTTACAGATGCACTCAGGTCTCCCTATATTCACCATCCCAACATTGCCTTAGAAAGTGTAAGAATTAAGTGCTTCCGTTACGTCCGTGAAGCTAGCATATAGGTCCTGGCTGTGATTCTAGAAAAGCACGTGTACGTGTTTTCAGTCCACCAATAAACATGTGTAAGTCTTCTACCTTCTTTAAAAGGAAGAGAACAGTGATTGTGCTAATATGCATGTATTTTTTTTAAAAACTTCCAATGTATTTAGTTCAGCAACCGGATCCGAACCAGCCAAAGCCAGAGGGAGCGCAGATGTTGGCGGTACGTGGGGAGCAGCTGGGAGTGGTGACGAACTGGCCGCCATCGCTAGAAGCTGCATTGCAGCGGTGGGGGACCATCTCCCCAAAGGCCCCGTGCTTGACCACGATGGACACGAACGGGAAGCCCCTGTACATCCTCACTTACGGTAATTCCGTATGCCGCTTCACCTTCCTGACTCTGCCTGCATACAGCAGCCACTTTTGGGGTGCTTCACTTACGTTTGTAAATCCAGTACAGAAACAAAATGGACTTAGAAAGGAAATATTTTAGGGAAAGTACTTAATTTGAGTGTGAAAAGTTCGTACTTATTAAGCGTTTCTGGAGTAAAATCCAGAAATAGGTACAAAAAAAATCAGTCATAACCCTAATAAGACAGTGGATTTTACCTCTTGGAACATGCATGTGATGTTCTTGAAAGTCGTGCCTTCAGGAAGGATGGGTAATTAAAGAATATGTATCTAAACTCTTGTATGTGTATCCTTCAGAAAAAACAAAAACCATTTCCAAAGTGATTACTCAAGAAAGCAAGAGAAACAGGGTTTTCTTTAGTTCTTCATTAAGTACAATTAATGAAATCTGTGAACTTTTGGAAGTAGTTTTCTGTACCAGAAAGATTTCGTTCTCTTTGTTCCCTGGGTAAGGGGCCAAGGAGAAAGCAGGTGGTTGGGTTACTGTCACAGCACCTGCTGCAGCTTTGCAGAGAGACCAGCTGAATAACAGGAAGACCAGAGCTGTCCCTCCTCTGTCTGCACGTGTGAGATTAGGTGACCTGTGTCTAGATCGAAGTTTTGTGTCCCTGGCAGCAGTGCTCTTACGTGGAGTAGGGAGGGGGCTCGTTTCTACATTGGCCCATGTTACGGTAAGTGACACAGAGTCCAGCCTTTTGGGATGTGGGGCCTCAGGGGGTACCCGCTGTAGACTCCAGCATTACCTGTGCGTCTCACGGACAGAAATGGGTTTGGGGTTTAGGAGCATATGTCTCCCAGCTTTGCCATTTTCTGGCAATGTTGGGTATTTCTAAGTGGATAAAGAGCATTTCACCCATGGTGAGGCTTAGCTGGATTTTTTCATTATGCTCTTTGGAAATAGGTTTTAGTCAAGTAAGCGGAAGACTTTCCTTAGTGACCCCATCCCTGGCCAGACCCAGCCCTGAAGCTGGTGGTGTGGCTGGAACTGCCACTCCTTAGCTTCTTCCAGAGATCATCTGCCACGTACGGGGACTCCCAGGACCCACCGTGTGCACACGCAGCGAAGCGCCCACCTGGCTGCCTACAAGCGTGTGCTGAGATGCACGAGGCGCTAACTGTGTACCTGCCCAGCGTGGGGCAGGGCATCAGAGAAGGAGACACAGTTCTCCAGGCTGAGGACTGCGGTCCGAAGGGCAGCCCTTCTCCTGAGGGAACAAAGAGCAGAGAAGTGCTGACTTTGCCTTCGTGCATGTTACTGCGAGCTGCGGTGTAAGATGGACGCCGAAAGTTATCTGAGGGAATTTGACTATCTAAGGGAAGTGTGTCTACACCCCAGCATCACAGCCCCTGCTCTTCAGTCATCTATGTTTTCTTGCATTTACTCATCTGTATGAGGCATATGCTGTGGGTCACTCTTGGTTTTGACCTGTTAAAGGAATGTAAGCAATGCATTTCCAAAAACACGGTGATAGTTCATCAGGATGTAAAAGGGAAGTGTTGGCCAATACCAGAAAAACTGTAGAAAAGTGCTTTGTAGGTAGAAACACTGAGATAGACGAACCTGTAATGGCTGGGTGTTGCTCAGAATACAGAGAAGAGTTCACTGAATAAGAATTGTTCTCATACCAAGGAACTCAGTCTCATTGGCAGACTAGACTGTTTACAGTCTTGTAGTTCACTTTCGGCTCTCATTTAACTTCCTGCAAAGCCGGAGGGTAGCTGAGAAACTTGGGATCTTTGATGGAAAATACAGGGAGTGAAGGTTAACAACCCTGTAGAACAATCCACTGTTCTCCATTTACCAATACAAATAAAACACCATCTTACAATGTTCAGTTAATAAAAATAAATCATGCTAAGCAACTAATTTCCTTCTATCATGAATCTTCGCTTCCTCCTGTTCGCAGCACGATACCTGCAAATTTATTCTACTTTGCTGCAGTGCGCTTTTATTACCAGGCAAACTCCCTCTCCTCTCTCCCTCCCTCTTCCTCTTTTTCTTTTCTTCCTTCCTTTTGTGATTTATGACTTGGCTTTTGCTCCAGATATTTTGAAATATTCAGGTGCTTGAGCTAGAAAAGCGTTGGGAAACCTTTCTACATGGTTTATGCTTTGCATTATTGGCGATGTGTTTCTCAGCCTCCACTGCTGTTCGCAGGTGACCTAGCCGCTGTGCTGAGCATGAGCTCTGAAACCCCTTCCTCACCCACCTACCCGCTTCCTCAGACCTACACTCTTCTTATGGTTTCGTACTCCTCACAGAAATCCAATTGAAATTAAAATTAATCTGTAGTAAGACAGTGCATGCATCATGTCCGCATCTCTTTCTTTTTTCTATATGCACAGGCTATCTTAGAGTCTTAATATCTATTTTCTCAGTTAAAATACCAGTTTAACTTGGCAAAATCGGTTGAGACTTCGTGTCCCCCACCTTCCATATACATAGTACGGAATTATTATTAACTGGTATTGGCCATGGTCACCATTTTATACATCTCATGACTTATTTTATAACTGGATGTTTGTACCTTTGACCCCCTTCACCCATTTATGCCTCCCTCTCCCCCCCTCCCCCACCAGTCTGTTCTCTGTATATGTATGAGCTTGGGTTTTAGATTCTGCAAGTGAGTGAGATCACAAAGTATTTGTCTCTCTCTGTCTCACCTGTTTCACGTAGCATGATGCCTCCAAGTCCATGCATGTTGTTGTAAATGGCAAGATTTCATGCCTTGTTATGGCTGAATAATGTCCTGTGTACATATACCACCTTTTCTTCATCCGCTCATCCGTTGATGACCAGTTTTAACCCCCATGCTGGTTTTTCCAGAGTGGCTGCCCAGTTTGCCCTCCCACCAACAGTGTAAGAGGTTCCCCTTTCTCCACATCTTCGCCAACACTTATCATCTCCTGTCTTTTTGATGCTAGTCATTCTGACAGGTATGAGGTGGTAGCTCAGTGATTTTGGTTTAATCTCCCTGGTGATGAGTGATGTTGAGTACCTGTCATTGTCTTTTGGCCATCTGTGTGTCTTTGGAGAAATGTCTGTTCAGTTCCTGTGCTCATTTTTGAATCCATTATTTTTTTCCATTGAGTTGAGTCCTTTATGTACTTAGATGTTAACTCCTTATTGGATAAATGGTTTGCAAATATCTTCTGTTCTGTAATTTGCTTTTTCATTGTGTGGATGGTTTCCCGTCCTGCTCAAAAGCTTTTTAGTGTGATATGGTCCCACTTGTTTATTTTTGCTTTTGGTGTCGGATCCAAAAAATCATCCCCAAGATCCATGTCAAGGATCTTAGCACCTATTTTCTTCTAGGAGTTTTATGGTTTCAAGTCTTAGGTTTGATTTTTTTCATTCATTTTGAGTTAATTTTTAGGTGTGGTTCAGTGCCATTCTGCTGCATGTGACTGTCCAGTTTTCTCACTACTGATTGAAGAGACTGCCTCTTCCCTATTGTGTATTCTAGACTCCTTTGCTGTAAACTAATTGACATATATGCATGAGTTTATTTATGGGCTCTCTGATCCATTGTGTCTGTTTTATGCCAGTGCCACACTGTTTTAATTACTGTAGCTTTGTAATACAGTTTAAAATCAGGGAGCCAGTTGCCCCCAGCTTTGTTCTTCGTACTCAAGATTCCTTTGGCTGTTTGGGGCCTTTCGTGTTTCCATACAAATGTTAGGATTCTTTGTTCTACCTCCATGAAAGATGCCATAGATATTTTGGTAGGGATTGCATTAAATCTGTAGATTGGTTTGGGTAGTATAGACATTTTAACAATATTATTTCGAATGTCTTTCATTTGTTTGTGTCTTCCTCAGTTTCTTTCATCAGTGTCTTATAATTTTCAGAGTTTAGGTCTTTTAGCCCCTTGGTTGAAATTTTTCATGGTACTTACTCTTTTTGATGCAACTCTAAATGTTTTCTTAATTTCTATGAGAATTCATTGTTAGTTTCTAGAAATGCAGTTGAATTTTGTGTATCAGTTTGCACTCTGCAACTTTACTCAATTCTTGGATTAGTTCTAACGGGGTTTTTTGTTTGTTTATTTCTTTGGTTTTGGTGGCATCTTTAGAGTTTTTCTGTATACAAAATCCTATCATCCTCAAATACAGATGGTTTTACTTCTTCCTTTCCAATATGGATACCTTTTAAGTCTTCTTCTTGCCCAAATACTCTGGCTAGCACTTCCAAAACCATTGAATAAAAGTGGTGAGACTGGACATCCTGGTCTTGATTCTTTTCTCGGCACACAATACTAGCTATGGGTTTTGAATGTATGGCTTTTATTATGTTGAGGTATGGTCCCTCTGTATTCCCTTTGTTGAGAGTTGTTGAATTTTGTCAAATGCTTTTTTCTGCATGTATGGAGAAATTATTTTTATTCTTCATTTTGTTAATGTGGTGTATCATGTTGATCGATTTGACAATGTTGAGCCATCCACATATCCCTGGAATAAATCCCACCGATCACAGTGTATGATCCTTTTACTGTATTGTTGAATTCAGTTTGCTAATATTTTGTTGAGGAATTTTGCATCTATGTTTATGAGGAGTAAGGGCCTCTTATTTCTTTTGTGTGTCCTTGTCTGGTTTTGGTATCAGGGTAACACTGGCTTCATAAAATGAGTTTGGAATCATTCCCCTCCTCTAATTATTTTGGAAGAGTTTAGGAAGGATAAGTATTAAATCTTCTTTGAATGCTTGATAGAATTCACAAGGAAAGGCTTCTGTTTGTAGGGAGGTTTTTAAGTTTCTGATTAAATCTCCTTACTAGTAATCATTCTATTCAGATTTTGTTTCCTCATGATTCATTGTTGCAAGATCGTGTGTTTCTAGGATTTATTCATTTTTTCCAGTTTGTTGGCATATCGTTGTTCCTGGTGGTCTCTTGTGATCCTTTGTATTTCTGTGGTGTTGGTTATAACTTTCATTTTTTATTTTATCTGAGATTTTAAATAAGGGTCCACTCTCGTTTTCTTTTGGTGAGTCTATCCAAGGGTTGTCAGTTTTGTTTACCTTTTCTAAGAACCAGTTCTTGGTTTTGTTGATCTTCTCTATTGCCTTTTTAGTCCCTATTTTAACAATTTCTGCTCTGATCTTGGTTACTTCCTTCTTTCTGCTAGCTTGGGCTTCATTTGTTCTTCTCCTGGTTCCTTGAGGTGTAAGACTAGGCTGTTTAGTTGAGATTTATCTTGTTCATTGAGGTACACCTGTATTGCTATGGACTTCCGTCTCAGAACCGCTTTTGCTACAAATCATAAGTTTTGGTATGTTGTATTTCCGTTTTTACGTGTCTCAAGGTATTTTTTTAATTTCTTCTTTGAATTTTTTGTTGTCACACTGGTTGTTCAGTAGCATGTTGTTTAATCTCCACATACTTGTGGATTTTCCAGGTGTCTTCTTATAATTGACTTCTCACTTCATACCATTATGGATCAGAAAAGATGCTTGCTATGTTTTCAGTCTTGAATTTATAGACATTTGTTTTGTGGCCTCACGTATGATTTGGAGAATGTTCCATGTGCACTTGAGAAGAATGTGTGCTTATGGATGGAGTGCTTATGGATGGAGTGTTTGATAAAAATTAAGTCCATATGTTCTAATGTGTTGTTCAAGGCCACTATTTCCTTACTGGTTTTCTGTCCAGATGATTTATCCGTTGATGTGAGTGGGGTATTAAAGTTCCTATTATCATATTGCTGTTAATTTCTCCCTTTAGGGCTATGAATATTTGCTTCATAGATTTAGGTGCCTCCATATTGGGTACATAAATGTTTACAAATGTTATGTCTTCTCAGTGGACTGATCCCTTCATCATTAAGTATCTCCCCTTCTTTGTCTCTTATTACAGTCTTTGGTTTAAAGTGTGTTTTGTCTGATAGAACTACAGCTACTCATCTTCCTTTACGTCCCCACTTCTGTGGAGTATCTTTCTGCAACCCCTCACTTTCGTCTGTGTGCATCCTTACATCTGAACGGAGCCTCTTGTAGGCAGCAGATCAGTTCTTGTTCTTTTGTGTGTGTGTTTTTTCCCCCATTAACTCACTCTGTGTCTTTTAATGAGAGAATTTAGTCCTTCTACATTTAAAGTAACTATTGATAAGAGGTACTTATTGCCATTTTGGTAATTGTTATCCGGTTGTTTTTGTAGGGCCTCTCTGTTCCTTTTCTCTTCCTTTGTGGTTTCATGACTTTCTTTAGTGTGAGGCTTACATTGCTATCCCTTTATATTTGTGTATCTGCTAGAGGTGTTTGCTTGGTGGTTACCATGAGGCTCACATACAACAACTTATATTTATAACCATAAGTGGATAACAACTTATGTTTGCACACATTCTAAACCCGTGCATTTTTACTCTCCCACCCACATTTCATGTTCTTCATGTCACATTTTGCATCTTGATATCTTGCGTGTCCCTATTTACTACTTTTGTCCTTTTCCTTTTATACTGGCTTTATATAGTCCACTACCTTTATTCTAGATTTACCTTTCCTAGTGGGATTTATACTTTTATTTATTTTCTTGTTACTTATTAGTGCCATTTCTTTTCAGCATGAAAAAGTCTCTTTAACATTTCTCACACGTCTGGTTTTGCATTTGCTTCTGGGAAAATGCATGGTCTGCCCTTCCATTCTGATTGATCCCTTTCCCAGTAACTTCTCTTGTTTGGAAAGTTTTTCATTCTCCTCTGTAAATCAGTAAAGAACCATTGTGTCTCTTGCAACTTAAATCAGCAAAGCTTTTCTCCTTGAAAAACAGCAAGTGGTATTTTACCAAAAGTATGTTGCTCTTTTCAAGCTCCCGACTGTAGACTGGCTTCTGTATGAATATATGATAATATCCAAACAGAGAATGACGTTGAAAGTGTAACAAAATGTAACATTGCTAATCATCTGACTGTAACAGGTTTGTTCACAAAGCCATTGGGTTTTTCAGTTACAACAAATTGATTGTAATTGTTTATTTAATTGTGATTCCCTAATCACAATTAAATGGAATTAGGTGGAAAAAATATAGCCACCTAACAAAAGACCAAATGCTTGTAAGGTAGCCACTCTTGAGGACTGCAGTGTTGAGGCACATCTAGAGAAGAGGGTGGAGGACAGACAAGACCTTCGTGTCTGATAATTAGCCTAAGTGCTCAAGAAGTATGGCCAAAGAGCGTACTGTCATTTTGTCCTTCTTAGGTTGCCTATGACATCAGTGAAATGAAGACCATGTGTTGAGCACATACTGTAAACCAGTAATACCCTAGGAGTTAGAGACATTAAGATAACAAAAACATTCCTTTTGTCCCCTTATCGCTAAGGAGATAAGTTGATAAATCCTGTGGAAGATAAACAATAACCCTAATTTCGGTTGCTGCAAAATCCAGTGTGAGGTAAAACAAGTGTTATAAACATAAAACCTCTTAACTTTTACATTTAAAATAGGAAGAAGCTGAAAACAGTGATTGTATTTACGGGAAAGTTAAAGTTGCTCCTAACTGTTGTTACGATCATGTTAATGTAACTTCTAACACCTCGCCTGCTTCTGAAAGCATGTGGAAGCTGATATCATGAAGCTCTTTAGGTGTCTAAGAGCTCATATTAGGTGTCAGAGTCACTTTGTCCCCCGCCCTGTCCTCCTGTGCAGGAGCGTCTGGTGCTAGAATGGAGGCAGGCGTGGGAACCCTGGAGGTTCTTCCAAGCTGGCTGTCCTTTCTGGGGTGGGTGGGGGTGGGTGTGTGTGTGTGTGTGTGTGTGTGTGTGTGTGTGTGTGTGTGTGTGTGTGTTTTCAATCCTATTTTTAATCCTCCTTTGTGGTCATTTTTCTGGAGTTCAGAACTTTAGCTCTGAATACTTACCACCATCTTTAAGTTCAAACATTACTCTCAAAACATCCTGAATCCCCAAGACAAGCAAGATGTGATGCTGAGAAACTCAGGACTTGGGGAGGGAAGAGGGATCAGGCCTTGCAAAGTGTGTCCTAAGTACCTTTTGCATTCATTTCATTCATTTCATGAGCAAGGCCCTGATAACAGTGGAAGTGTGTCATTTTGCATAATGTGAATCGGCAGTGACACACTATTGCCCTTGTCCCTGCTCTCCTTTACTCCCCAGAAATCTTCCCATCTTCTGTGATGATAGCTATTCTGTGGCTTTGCTGTAGCTGCTTTGCACACTTACAGTGTGTATCAGTACCTTGTTCCAGTGTTTAGGCCTCTCAGAGCTTATGAGTCAGAGTTTCTGGCTTTTATTTTCCTTCAGGATTCCATGGACTCAGGGTTACTTGAAGGCTTAAAAGGAATGAGTACTGTCTCTAGTTATGTGCATGTTGAGACATAACTGAAAATGCATGTGTCCACTTACTTGTGTCTTTATCACTTGTATTAATAGGCAAACTGTGGACAAGAAGTATGAAGGTCGCTTACAACATTCTGCATAAATTAGGTACAAAGCAGGAACCTATGGTACGACCAGGAGACAGGGTAAGTGCACGTCTGCAAACACTCCATCGTATGCGACAGAGACACCTGCTGTTTGAAGTTCTTAGAGTTCAGTGTCTCCTAATGCTAATGCTGCTAAGTCAGGCTTTCTTAACATTAACTATGAATCGGGGTCAGTCGCACAGTATGTCATTTAGCCTTTACAACAACCCCGTGAGTTCGACTGTAGTACTTCTGTTTCATCCATGAGGACGTGCAGACTTGAGAGTGTCACATCAGATGAAGGCACATAACTCATAAGTGGCTCAGCACTCGCAGCTGTTTCTGGCAGACCCCAGAGTCACATTCCCAGCCTTTGTCCTGTCGTCTGCTACTTTGAAACATTCGTGTGTCATCTACCTGGGTTGGCAGGACAAATTATATGTAAAAGTTTGTTTACATCCATCAGTGTACTGAAATCTTTATAGCACGCTGCTGGTGCCATTCCTTTGCTGGTGTTAAATTTCTGGATAGAGGCTACTATGTTTAACCGATAAGCAAATTTTTATTCTTCCTGCAATCTGAAGTTACAGAGGAGAGATGTTAGTATTCCTTTGCAATGTTATACTCTAAGAACTTGATACCCTTGTCCAAGCTTTGTACCCCAATTTAGATGTGAGGCAGGGTTAGAACCACATTTTCTTGCCTTCAAATGTAGCATCTTTTTTTCCATTTGCTGCTTTGTATCTGAGACCCCAACACTGGGTTATCCTACCTGTGCCCAAAGAACTCCCAAGTGAATTCAGTAAAAATATCAGTGCTGAGCACCATAAACCAACAAGAACAGAAGCTGTGATTTACTTAAGATATTATAAAGACAGGGGCCCATCATGAGGAATTTTTTAGAAGATTACCAGAGGCCCAGCCTTCTGTGGTGGACTATGATTCTTTCCATTTTTTTATTGAACAAGTTTGACCTGTGGCTTGTAAATCTCAGTTATAGGTCTTAGCACTTCCTGATTATAAAACCACAAGGCTACAGTAATCAAAGGAGTGCAGTGCTAACGTAAAGACAGATGTGGAGAATGGAGTAGAACAGAGAGCCCAGAAACAAACCCTCGTGTGCACGGTGAAGCAGGTTCATCGAGGATGTTAAGATATGACACGGGGAAAGGACGGTCTCTTCGACAAATGGTGCTGGGAAAACTAGACCACCCACAAGCAAAAGGACAAAGTTGGACCTTTTACACCGTCTATTAAAAAATTAACTCACGGGGCGCCTGGGTGGCGCAGTCGGTTAAGCGTCCGACTTCAGCCAGGTCACGATCTCGCGGTCCGTGAGTTCGAGCCCCGCGTCAGGCTCTGGGCTGATGGCTCGGAGCCTGGAGCCTGTTTCCGATTCTGTGTCTCCTCCTCTCTCTGCCCCTCCCCCGTTCATGCTTTGTCTCTCTCTGTCCCAAAAATAAATAAAAAAAGTTGAAAAAAAAATTAAAAAAATAAATAAATAAAATAAAAAAAAATAAAAAATTAACTCACAATGGTTCGGAGACTTAAAGAACAAAAACTATAAAACTCTTAGAATAAAACATGGGGAAAGCTGCATAACACAGAATTTGGCAATGATTTTTTTACATGATACCAAAAACACCATGGAACAAAAATAAAAACATAAATTGGATTTCATCAAAATAACTCTGTGCACCAAAGGACATTATCGAGACTGAAAAAGAAACATACAAGATGGGAGAAAATATTGACGAATTCTATATCTGAGAAGAGGTTAGTATCCACACTATGCTAAAACAAACAAACAAAACATAAGTTTAAAAAATGGGAGAGGACTTGAATAGACATTTCTCCAGAGAAGGTTTGCAGATGGCCAGGGAGCACCTGAAAAGATGCCCCACGTCACTGCTCGTTAGGGCGCTGCATGTTAAAACCACAGTGAGACCGCACTCCACAGCCATTGGGGTGGCCGTTGTCAGAAAGCAGAAAGTAAATGTTGGCAAAAATGAAGAAATTGAACCCCGGTGTGCTGCCACTGCAGAAAACAGTATGGCGGCTCCTTTAGAAATTGAACATAAATTACTGCTTGATCCAACAGTTTCCCTTCCGTTTCAAAAGAACTGAAATCAGGGGCTTGAGCAGATAATAGCAACACCAGTGTTCATAGCAGCATTGTTCACAAAACCAAAAGGTGACAGTAACTCAAGTGTCCATCGGCAGATGCACGGAGACACATAATAAAACACGATGGGCTCAAAGACTGCGTGACATGGAATATGGCAGCTGCAAAGGACAAATGTACCAGGTACTTAGAGTAGTTAAATTCATGGAATCAGAAGGGTGATGGTAGCTAGGGGGCTGGTGGGGGCTGGGAAGTTCCTTAATGGGAGTGAGGCTTCAGTTTAGGAAGATGAGAAGGTCGGGAGATGGTTCTGGTTGTGAATGTACTTCATGCTGCTGAGCTGTGCACTTCATTTTCAAAATAAATTAATAAAATAAATGAATGGTCAACGTTGTGTATGTTTTACCCCAATAAAAAATCAGTTGTATGACTATAATTTCATGGATAGTGTTAGTAGAATGATTTCGTTAAAAATTCTTATAGAGCATGGCCTCCAGATTATTGAAGTTCCCTTAAAATAACAACTACAAAATAAACCACCTCTGTTCAGCTAAGATGTTAGTAGGAATTTGCGGGGCACAGTTTTGAGAAAATAAACTATGTAAAGAGGTTTGTCGGTAGAGGTTGGTTTGACTGTGTGAGGGAGACTATTTTTCTAAGTTATTTAAAACATTATTCATGTAGTTAATATCGGGCACATGTGTACAGATACTTTTATTAAATAAATATACACGACCGTAGCAGTAAATTGATCATAAGCTTATGTTGCTATAAACGGAATTTTTTGCCCTCTTTGAAAATCACTTTTGAATAAAACATAATTTTCCCCAGAATAGTGAACATTCAGTCCTTAGCATAAAAATTTACATTTTGTTTGTGTGTGACCTTACTAATGTTGTTTGGGGAATTACCTTCTTGGGCTTCCGAAAAGGGCTTTATGTGCCTAAGCTGAATAGGGTTTGGGGATATTTAGAGCTTTGGAAGGCACGAAGGTGCGTCACATCTGAAGGGAGCCTGCCAGTTGTATTAAAATATAAATAGACACATTACTGATAATCAGCTTTTCTATAAAGGGAAAGTGATACAGGTCCCCAAAAGAGGGGTAAGAGGTGGAGATGAACTATCTGGAAGGAGAGAGATGTTTTTCATTTTGAGGAGCATCTGGGGCCTGAGAAGTCTTCCCAGAGAGGAAAAGTGAGCCTGTGAGCTGTAAGCTAGGCTCCAGGAAAGCATGGGAAGGAGCTGACATGGGAAGTGTGTGCAGCAGCTCCTGGTGTGAAGAGCGCTGAAGGCAAGCTGGCCGAGGGGCGTCCCTTTACCAAGAGGAGACCCTCCGAAGCGCGGCGGTGGGTTGCGCCTTTGCCTCTTGGTTTGTGGATGCCTGCTGTGCCCTGTGGGGGATTAGGTCCAATGACACCTCAAGGAATGCGTGGAGGAGCGAATACAGGGGAGCTGTGTGGGTCCCTCAGAACCAAGCACCTGCATGTGTGCGTTGCACGGGAATCACTGTGGAGACGCCAGTAAGACAGGGCTTGTGACCGACTCAGAAACGGAAACAAGACTTAACAGGAATTACTGAAGTACAGACTCCGCTTCCTTAAACTGCAAAACAAAACAGCAACAAACCTTCAGTTTTTATTCTGAGCCTTCAGAGGTATCTGGCCCTCCCTGTCCCTTACTTTTATATCATCGAGAGATACAATATACAATTTCATAGTCTGCTTTTATTCACTTTACGTTGTAACTTCACGTTTCATCCTATTTAACACAATTCTGCCAGGTTTATACAGTGTGGCCTCAGCAGCATGAGCTGCAGCAACAAAGCAGTGGGAACTTGCAGTCCCAGGTTCGGTTGATCTTCCTTTGAATGGAGCCGGAGTGGCAGCCAGACCTTGTTCCCAGTCTGGGGGTGCCCCATCTTCTCGCTCTCGGTTCTGTGCTCCTGGCGGGGACTCCTGCATCCAGAGCAGGTGCTCCAAGAAGACTAACAAGTCGGTATTTAACTGGTCCATTATGAATAGGTGCATCCATTGGTTTGGGATGGAACAGCAGTATGTCCTGTGTTTCCCTGCAGTTTGAACGACTTCCTCAAACATGTTGGTCCGTTTCAGGGAGAGATGTCTTGTGGCGGCGGCACCCGGAAGCTCACAGATACTCACCCGGAAGACTCAGTGTTGCCCTGCCAGACCCACATCTAAAACCTGTTGCTCTCAGCTCAGCTGCCACTTGAAGGCAGAGCCCTTACAGCTACTGCGATCCTCACACACTTTGTTAAAATAATTGCTGACGGTTCATATGTGTACGTGTGCAAGTCAGTTACTTCTGGAAAGCCCTGCTCACGGCTGAGTGCTGTCAGGATGGAATAAGTTGACATAAGCAACGGTTACCTCTCAGGGTTCTCAAACACGGTCGTCGGTAGTGCAGAATGGCTTTTGCTGGCCTTATGGGGTCATGTATCTCTCATTTAGCTGATTTCAGTGAACTGCAGGAATGCTGCATGGAAAGGAAACCTTCATTGAATCCCAAGCTGATTTCTTCCCCACCTGCTATCCTGTGTCGCTAAGTTTCAAACATGGACAAATTTACGATGTGGCCTCTTCTGTTCTCAGCTGCCATCTGCGTCCCTTCACACCAACCTGCTTATTTGCATATTGAAATTGAGTGTGTTACCCACCTGCTCCTGGAAAAACTGGCAACTTCTGGTTAGGACATTTTGAGAGAAAAAATTGGTTAAATTCCTGAATGAGTCATGCAGAAGTGACCTGTGCGTGTTAAGTCGTGGGATCTGGGTGCCTGTGAACACGCAGCAAACTTGTCCACAAGGGGGGAGTGGAACCCCGATGCCCAATCAGGACGTGGGGGTGACGCGGGCTACAGCAGGAGCGGGGTCTGCAGGGCGGAGCAGGCAGTGCAGACATGCAGCCACGGGACAGCTACTGCGGTGTCCTGAGGAGGCGGTCTGCCCGAGAGGTGGGCACGGCTGCTCCAGGAGGGGCTGCAGTAACAGGAGAGCTGGCTGGTGCCAGGTGAGCTACACGGCAGACCCTGGGACAAGCCCCGGACGGACTCACGTGGGATGGCATACTTGTTAAGTCGTGGGCACTGACAGAAAGGGGCGTCTTGACAAACGTCCAGTAAAAAATGCAGCGATGAAAACCAAACAGTACTGCAGCAAGAAGTCTTTGCATCAAGCGTAAGAGTTAATGCCGTCAAATGTATTTAAGATCCATCCTGATTTTAGGGTACTTGTCAAAACACTGATGGGCTAAATAGGCTAATAGGTAAAAAGGGGAATGAAAAGCATTTCACGTGAGGAAGAATAATTACAAGCCATTCCATGGAAAAATCATTCAACGTTAAGGTAACCTCAGGCCTATCAGAAAAAATTTTAGAAATCATATTCCTCGGGGCACCTGGACGGCTCAGTCAGTTAAGCATCAGACTCTGGATTCCGGCTCAGGCCACGATCCCAGGGTCATGGGATCAGGCTCTGCGCTGGGCTCTGTGCTGGCTGGCAGCGTGGAGCCTGCTTGGGATGCTCCTCCTCCCTCTGTGAGCTCGTCCCCTGCTCTTGCATGCACAGGCTGTTTCTCTTTCTCAAGACAAATAAACTTTAAACAAAAGTCCTACTACTCCGGGAAATTTAAATCAGCCTGCCTCTTATAACTCCAAGATTATTGTGCTTTTCGTCCCTAAGGCCGAGCAGGAAGGCGGTGGGTGGAACCAGGCCAGCAGGCGTTCGTGGAGCCTCATCTGTGAGGGTGCCACGGATGGACTGACAGCCCCAGCTGGCTGGCATTCACGGCCGTGTGCTGTGCGCCGGGCCTTGCACCGAGCCCTCGCCACCTTCTCTGTGACCTTCACCGCAGCACTAGGACGTAGGCAGGAAAACTGAGGCCTGGAGGGGCAGATACTGACCTGGAACCAGGATGGAGCCCTGTGGTCAGCGCCCTGCCAGCCTCGCCCCAGTGAGGAAGCACACAGCGCTCGGTCACCCCTGTGAAGGCTGTGTGGAAACACGAGTTCTTACCGAGCCCAGCGAGGATGCTGCGGTTCACCCTGTGTTAAGTACGTGACAGGAAGATGACGAGCGGAACATCTGGGTAGTTGTCTTCTGGGGGCAGCGTTAGGAAGGACTGTGGGCGATACTTGTCGCTTCCATGTGAATCAAAGAGAAAGTACACAGTACTTGAATGCATCTTGCTGAAGGGTATTTTTAAGCGTGCACCTAATTTTTGTTCAGCCTCTGTTCTCACGGAGAACATGAGCCCTGCTGCCCATGGCGGTTTGCATCGTTTTTCGGTATTTTGAAAGCTGGTGGCATCGATTTGCTGGTTAATCCCTCCTGCTCTGTGTCTGTGCAGGTGGCGCTGGTGTTCCCCAACAATGACCCCGCCGCGTCCATGGTGGCCTTCTACGGCTGCCTGCTGGCTGAAGTTGTTCCCGTGCCCATCGAAGTGCCACTCACCAGAAAGGTAAAGAGCGTGCTGTCGCCAGCAGGGAGGGTCCGGCTGGGCCGCAGCGGAACGTTCTGTGGTGAAGTCAGAATGCGTAGGTGGCTGGTTTTTAAGTGGCTCTTTATCTCAGCGGGAGGTGGACCGAGAAGCACAGAGGTGTTTTTGTCATTGGGGAGGCTCTACAGGTTCTCGTCATTTGTGTCAGTAGAGGGGACGGTTACTGGATGCGCAGCTCAGCGGCAGGATGAAGCAGCAGCTTTTCAGGGGTGGGGCTGCCGCACCCCGGCCTTCGAGTGCTGATGGGGGGCCGTTTGAGACGGTGGCACAGGGGGATGCAGAGCTGGCCTCTTCCCCTGGCCCTGTGGCTGCGGCTGCGTGTGGAGCGACTTCCTGTGCAGAACACCCAAGAACCCGCTGACCAGCTCCTCCATTTCAAGGGAGACGGGGGATTGGGGGGGCCGAGGCAGGGACACTGTCTCACCAGATGCCCCAGCCCTGCACTGCCACCACACACAGGGGGAGTCTCACACATTCAGAGCTCCTCCTTGAGTGGGGTGTTCACGTCACCCATTAGGCATTTCAGCCCTTGGGGCCTGCACCAGAGAGATGAACCTCCAAAACATCTGCCTTTGGAAATACGAGGCTTGTGTCCAGCATACCCATGGGGCTCATGCTCCACTCACTTGTCCCAAGGCCCAGCACAGAAGCAACAGTTTAGAAAGTGATTCCACTGTGTGTGAAGAGGGTTCATTTGCTGACCCTAAAGCATCTGCCAGAGGGGCAAGGGCCTGCCGGAACTCCATCTGGGGATAGAGGTGCTGATGGGGACCATTTCTGCACATTGCTTCTACCTTGCTAGTGCTGTTCTGCTACAGCCAACAGGTGCACCCCAGCCCCGTGCCCTCCTCCTGCGTCAACGAAGCCAGTAAGCGTGCTGCAGCCCCACATTTGCCTCCTGCCTTGCTAGAGCTGCAGGTGCCCATAGACCGCACAGGGATACCCATGCACGCCTGGCACTGGGAGCCAGGGGCTAGGACACCTGGGCCCCGTAGGTCTGTATCATGGAGAGAGACTGTTCTTGACAGATGGCTTGCGGGGCACTGCACAGACGACAGACTGAAACACAGCCCAGGCTTTCTGGGAGGAACGTCTGTTTACCTGTCCTGGGGTGCAGTACCTGTCCTGGGGCACAGGTTATCTGTCCTGGGGCACAGCCTGAGGTACAGGCTTCAGGTTTGTCACATCTAGAGACTGTGGAGGTGCTCCCAGGGAACGTGGACAGGGGGACAACTTTGCACTTTCCCTTGACTGTGCTCCAGTTCACTGGCACCTCCATGAAAGGAGCCCTAATTTTTGCAACTGTAACCAGGAGACACCTCCAGACATCCTGGTCTGGAGGCCAGCAGGATTTAGGACTGTGGTCCCACAAACTGTATGTATACACATACTTTAAAAGCTGCTGCCTGAGGGCCTGGCTGCCAGTCAGCCTGTAACTAGTGCTCAGTGGGATTCCTCCCTTTGGAACTTGGACAGGTCTCAGCACGCCCTTAACAGTGGGAACATATCTGGAGTACATTTGGCTGCGTAGACAATCAGAGGGGTTCAGGAGACAACCAAGGGTAAGGCTGAACGAGGAGATTCATTACTTCCACAGCCCACTCCTTCCACACTGGGAGAGGTACCTGCTGCACTTAATACAGAGAGGCCAACAAAACGAGCAGACAGACGAACGTGTTCCAGAAGAAAGAACAAGATAGAACCTTAATGAACAGAGATAAATACTTTACCTAATTAGGAGTTCAAAGTAACGGTCATGAGGAAGCTCACAGAACTCAGGAGAAGGAAGGATGAACACACAACTTCAACAGGGAGATGGAAAATAGGAGGGAATACCACTTAGGTCAAGCCACTTAAGATACAGTAAAGTGGGGCGCCTGGTGGCTTAGCCGGTTGAGCGTCCAACTTCAGCTCAGGTCATGATCTCACGGTTTCTGTGTTGGAGCCCTGTGTCGGGCATGTGCTGTCAGCTCAGAGCCTGGAACCTGCTTGACATTCTGTGTCTCCCTCTCTCTCTGCCCCTCCCCTACTTGTGTGTTTTCTCTCTCTCTGTGTGTATCTCTTTCTCTCTCAAAAAATAAACATTAAAAAATTTTTTAATTAAAAGATAGAAAAGAATACAGTAACAGAACTGAAGAACGCCCTGTGAAGTTCCCACTAGAAAAAAACAGAAGGAAGCAGCAGCCATCAAGAGGACAGGACAATAGACCTCACACAGAGCAGCAAAAAGAAACCAGGAAAAATTTAAGATAGCTTGAGGGACCTGTAGGACAGCATCAATCAGAACAGCATTCACAATATGTGTGTCACAGAAAAGAGAGAAAGGAACAGAAAACGTTCCTAACCTCGGGAGAGAAATAGACATCCAGGTCCATGGAGCCTGGAGAGCTGTAAGTAAGATGAATCCAAGGAGTTCACACCAAGACATGTTATAATTAAAATGTCAGAGGCTAACGAGAGAATCTTAAGAGCAGCAGGAGAAAAACAACTTGTTCCATACAAGGAAACAGCTAAGATGGTCAGCACATTTTCAGCAGAAACCTTGCAGCCCAGAAGGGAGCGGCAGGATATATTCAAAGTACTGAAAAGAAAACCTACAACCAAGAATACTCTGCCCAGCAAGGGCCGTCATTCAGAATTGAAGGAGGGATAGTTTTCCAGACAAGCAAACCGTAAAGGAGCTCATTGCCACTAAACAGGCCGTGGGAGAAACGTTACAGTGAGAGGGCCTTGATTAGTAGCAAAATACGAGAGAGTATAAATCTCACTGGTAAAGGTAAATGTACAGTAAAGGTAATGGATTAATTGCTTACTAAACTAGAACGAAGGTTAAAAAGACAAAAGTAGTAAAAATCAGGAAAACTACGATACTTAGTTATGGGATACACAATGTGAAAAGATATAAATGTAACATCAAAACATTAATTGTGGGGAGGGCAGGTAAAAACTCAAGAGTTTTAGGGGCGCCAGGGTGGCGCAGTCGGTTAAGCGTCCGACTTCAGCCAGGTCACGATCTCGCGGTCCGTGAGTTCGAGCCCCGCGTCGGGCTCTGGGCTGATGGCTCAGAGCCTGGAGCCTGTTTCCAATTCTGTGTCTCCCTCTCTCTCTGCCCCTCCCCCGTTCATGCTCTGTCTCTCTGTCCCAAAAATAAATAAACGTTGAAAAAAAATTAAAAAAAAAAAAAAAAAAAAAAAAAAAAAAAAAAGAGTTTTAGAGTATGTTCAAACTTAATATATAAATACACACACACACACATACAAGATTAAACGTGTGTGTGTGTATAGGCTGTTATGTGTGAGTCTTATGGTGACCAAAAAGCAAATACCTCTAATAGATACACAAAACACAAAGGGAAAGAAATCTAAGTGTAATACTACAGAAAGTCATCAAACCACAAAAAAGCGAAGAAGAGAGGAACAGAGAGGCCCAACTAAAAGAAAAACCAGAAAACAATTACCAAAATGGCAATAAGTACATACTTATCAATAATTACTTTAAATGTAAAAGAACCAAATTCTCTGATCAAGAGACACAGAGTGGGTTAATGGGAAAAAACAAAAACGATCTGCTGCCTACAAGAGGCTCCGTTCAGATGTAAGGACGCACACAGAGGAAAGTGAGGGGTTGCAGAAAGATACTCCACAGAAGCGGGGACGTAAAGGAAGATGACTAGCTGTGGTTCTATCAGGCAAAACACACTTTAAACCAAAGACTGTAGTAAGAGACAAAGAAGGGGAGATACTTAATGATGAAAGGATCAGTCCACTGAGAAGACACAGCATTTGTAGACATTTATGTACCCAATATGGAAGCACCTAAATCTATGAAGCAAATATTAACAGACCTAAAGGGAGACATGCAATTCAGTAGTAGTAGGGACGTCAATACCCCGCTGACATCAGTGGACTTAATTTATACTGAACACTCCATCCATTAGCAATAGAATACACATTCTTCTCAAGGGCATTTCCAGTGTTCTCCAGGATAGATCACATGTTAGGCCACAAAACAAGTCTCAATAAATCAAAGAAGGCTGAAATTCTATCAAGCATCTTTTCTGACCCATAATGGTATGAAAGTAGAAGTCAGTTACAGGGAGAAAACTGGAAATTTCACAGATATGTGGATTTTATGCAGCATGCTTCTGAACAACCAGTAGGTCAATGAAGAAATCAAAGGAAAAGTCAAGAAACAGCTTGAGACTAACTTAAACGGTAGCAGAACATATGAAAACTTCAAAGCTCAGCAGAAGTGGTTCTAAGAAGAAAGGTCACAGCAATACAGGCCTACCTCAGTCCATCAGAAAAATCTCTAATCTGAAACTTTCAGGAACTAGAAAAAAAAAAAAAAGCAAATGAAGCCCAACCATGAAGCTGATTCTTTCAAAAGATAAAATTCATACACCTTTAGCTAGACTCAGCAAGAAAACAAGAGAACAGGACTCAAATATAATCAGAAATGAAACAGAAGTTATAACTGATGCCACAGAAAAAGGGTTAGGGGATACCACCATGAATAACTATATGCCAACAAATTGGACTCCTAGAATTGGATAAATTCCATAAATGTACACTCTTCCAAGGCTGAATCATGAAGAAGTAGAAAATCTGAATACGGGTTAGTAGTAAGTAGATTGACTCAGTTATCAAAAACCTCCAGTAAACAGAAGTCCAGGATCATCAGATGGCTTCACTGGTGAATTCTGCCAAACATTCAGAAAGATTTAATACCTCTCCTTCTCAAACTCTTCCAAAAAATTGAGAGCAAAGGAAACTTTCAAATTCATTTTTACAAGACCAGTGTTGCCTGATACCAACACCAGGCAAGGATACCATAAGAAAATAAGATTACAGGCCAAATATCCTTGGTGAACATAGATGCAAAAATTCTCAACAAAATATTAGCAAACAGAGCTCAATAACATGTTAAAAGGATCATATTCCATAAGTTAGTGGGATTTA